GTTGTGGCTGTATATACCCATCCCCTCCTCCCCCCTCTCACCCTCCCAACACCCAATAAATGTTATTCCTATATGTCCACTGAGATTGATCTGTTAATATCAATTTGCTGGTGAGTACATGTGGTGCTTGTTTTTCCATTCTTGAGATACTTCACTTAGTAGAATGGGTTCCAGCTCTATCCAAGAATATACAAGAGGTGCTATATCACCATTGTATTTTTAAGGCTGAGTAGTACTCCATGGTATACATATACCACATTTTATTAATCCACTTATGAACTGATAGCCACTTGGGTTGTTTCCGAAGCTTTGCAATTGTGAATTGTGCTGCTATAAACATTCGAGTGCAGGTGTCTTTTTCAAAAGTGACTTTTGATCTTTTGGGTAGATCCCCAGTAGTGGAATTGCTGGATCAAATGGTAGATCTACTTGTATCGCTTTGAGGTATCTCCATATTGCTTTCCACAGAGGTTGCACTAGTTTGCAGTCCCACCAGCAGTGGTGGTAGTGTTCCTATCTCTCCGCATCCATGCCAACATTTATTGTTTTGGAATGTAAACAGGTGGAAAACCATACCACACTCGTGGGTCGGCAGAATCAATATTGTTAAAATGTCTATACTATCCAAAGTGACTTACAGAGTCAATGCAATCCCTATCAAAATGCCACCATCATTTTTCACAGATATAGACAAAATAATTTTACACTTCATATGGAACCAGAGAAGGCCCCATATAACAAAAGCAATCCTAGGCAATAAAAAAAAATGGGAGGTAACAATTTACCAGACTTCAAACTATACTCCAAGACTACAGTAATTTAAACAGCTTGGGACTGGCACAAGAATAGGGACATTGACCAGTGGAACAGAACAGAGAATCCAGATATAAACCATCCTTATATAGCCATCTAATATTTGACAAAGCAGACAAAAAACATGCACTGGGGAAAAGAATCCTTATTCAATAAATGGTCCTGGGAAAACTGGACAGCCACATGTATAATACTAAAAGAGGACCCACAATTTTCACCTCTCACAAAAATCAACTCATGCTGGGTAACAGACTTAAACCTAAGGTGTGAAACTGTTAGAATTCTAGAGGAAAACATTGGGAACACTCTTCTAGACATTGGCCTAGGCAAAGAATTTATGAAGAAGACAATCACAGCATCAACAAAAGGCAATCACAGCATCAAAAAAATAAATAATTTCAATGGCAGTGACTTTGTTAAAAAAAAAAAAAAATAAAAAATAAATAAATAAATAAATAAATAAGTGGGACCTGATCATACTAAAAAGCTTCTGCACAGCCAAAGAAACTGTCACGAGAGCAAACAGGCAACCTACAGAATGGGAGAAAATTTTTGCAAGTTACACATCCAATAAAGGGCTGATAACTAGAATCTATTTAGAACTCAAGCAAATCAGCAAGAAAAAAATCAAACAACCCTATCAAAATGTGGGCAAAGGACATGAACAGAAAGTTTCCAAAAGAAGACAGAATAATGACCAACAAACATATGAAAAAATGCTCAACATCTCTAATTATCAGGGAAATGCAAATCAAAACCACAATGAGATATCACTTAACTTCAGTGAGAATGGCTTTTATCAAAAAGTCCCAAAACAATAAATGTCACTGGTAGATTTGAAAAGGTATGGTTCTCCAATTAGTGGGTTCTAAATACATACTCATCATATCAAGCTTATTGTGTTCTTACCTTACAAATTCTTACTAATTTTTGTGTGATGTCACTAAGTGATGACTATTAGAATTGTGGATTTATCAATTTCTTTGTGTAATTCTGTAAATTTTTGCTTTTTATGTTTTAAACAATAAAGGTGCCTAAAGTTTATAACTGTTAACACCTTCATAGTGATTTTACCTAGTCTTTAAGTATAGACTCACTAATCCTTAAAAATGCTTTTGCTTTAAAGTCTATTTTATCCAGTATTAATACAGCTACACTACCTTATTAGCTTTCTTTTCATTAGTACTTGCTGGGTATATTTTTTCTCATCCTTTTACTTTCAACCTTTATGTTCCATTATGTTCTAGTAGTTGTTAGGGAAAAAAGAGAGATTTTTTTTAACCCTTTCTGGTAATCAGCCTTTTCAGTAGTTTACTTATTACATTTATATTCATTTTGACCCATTCAAATGTATTTTTAAAACTTAGTTTCGGAACTGTTTCTTGTTTTTTTGGATATCCTCCCCCTCCTCCCTTTTTCTATTCTTTTCTAGGTGGCTTGAGTTTTATTCTCTTTTTTAGCTTCTCCTAGTTTGAAAACCACATATTTTGTTTCTACATCATAAAGTTATCATTTAAAATATATTAAGTATATCAGGTAAGTTAATGTCTAAAGTTAATCAATATCTATCTTCCTTCTGAATACTTAGAATGTCTTAACTCCAATAACTGCATATTACTGCTTTTTCTCTTGAAACTAGTCATTTTTATTGTTTTATAAAGTAAATATTAAAAACTTGCCTACATACTGCAAATATCTCTACTTCTTATTCCTTTTTGCACTGCACTTCTCCCTTGTATCGTTCAATTTTCTCCTTCAAGTACATCTCTAGTAGTCTTTTCAAAAAGACAAGTTTGTCTTCCTATCTGACAAAGAGTTGATTTAGCGTGTCTGAAAATTTTATTTCAGTATCACTCTTGGATTAGTTTACATGAGTTTTTCACTCAGTACTTTGAAGTTATTTACTTCTCCACAGCAACACTAGAAGTCTGCATTTAGTCTAACTGTGAACTTTTTATTAGTAATCTGATTGTTTTTGTAAGTTAGTTTCTGTGGTTCTCTGCAATTTCACTACATATATGTTTTGATTTGTGTTTATCTCATTTGGGACTTGTCAATTTTCCTGAATCTGACAATGGCAATATTGCTTCCTTTCCAATTTCCCAATTCTCTCTTTCTGGAATGTGTATTAGAAACATTTTGAGATGTCTCAATCTATCATCCACATGTTAACTTCTGTATCCTCAAAACCCAACAGTGCCTGGCATATCATCAAAGCTCAATACAAATCTGTGGGGAAAATGAATTATATATGTTGAACCTATCATGAAAATCATAATAAATGCACCAGGTCAAGGCAAAAATCAAGCGTCTCCTGGAGCCCAACTTCCTACCAGTTGAATCTTCAACATAGTAGCCAATCTCGCATACAAAAATAATGAAATCTGGGATTATTTAATGACAGGAACCAATTGTTGAGGTATATCGCTTGGGAACGTGGGGAGAGGGGCTATGATTTGCTCCCTATTTTGAGGAAATTAGATAAAATGGCTCAGAATACACGTAAAGCACCAACATAGTAACATATCATCAGTGACATGAAATCAGGATTTAGCTCATATTTAAAGCCTCCTTTGGTGTACTTAATATAGAATAAAGTAAGTTTGTACTGACTGTGCATCTACTAGGGTGTAATCTAACATTGATAGCAATGTTTTATGTAATTAAATCAAGGTATAAATTATTATTAATTGCTCAAAGTCACACAGCTAATTAGCTAAACCCAAATTTGATCCGAATTCCACCCAGCCCGTACCTCTCCCCCAACACCCTCCCACTTGGCCAGACGCTGCCTCCTGGGTAACACTCGGAAACTGAAAAACTCTGTCAGGTGGGAAGTGGCCACTCAGTGCTGTCCAATCAGTGCTGTGTTTGCATGACTTCTGTCAATCTCTAATAAAAATTGTCATCATTCTCAAGTAAAACTCTTTATTCATTCACACATATTATTGCATTGAATCCTCACTTCATACCCAGGAGTAGAGAAAGCAGAGAGGTAATCACTCCACTTTACATATGAGGAACTTGAGATTCACAACAGACAAAGAACTTCCAAACCGAGTGTGAGCAAACGGAAGCACGAAAAACAGCTCTGCTCTCAGCTCTCCAACTTCACCTTCTGTCCCAAGACAGTGGAGGATGTCCAGTGGTGTGTAGCCCTTATTTCCACTTATGGAATGCTTATCTTTATTAAAAGTCTTTAACAAACTTAGAGAAATTGTGACCAAAAAAATTCATCCATTAAACTGTGGAGAAATTATATATTGCTTTTCGTGTTTGTTAACTCATTCAAAATTGTACTGACTTTATTACATTCCAGGTGTTACGCTGGTTCTATTTATGGTAAAAACGCTGAGGCATTTTAGCAGTTTTCTTAATACCAAATGAGGCCTGAGGTGTGGTCCCTTTAGGATTTATAAAGAAAAAGTTTTGCTTACTTATCTGATATATGTAAAGCACATCCTAACCACTTTCCTCCACTACTGTAGTGGACCTTACGCTGGCAGATATCCTACCAGCAGTTACTCAGTTAGAAATTTTTATTGAAACTTAAGGTGAGTCAATAATTTTTGGCTGCAAGTTTATATCTATTAAAATATGATCATCAAAATGTGTTGGTCCCTAATGAACAAATTTGCAAAGGGTATTATGGGTCAGGCCCAATATTAGCATGAATTACCTCAATATCAATAAAAACATATATTTTTAAAAAGAAATAATTCAAGTGACCTAAACACATATATATTTTTGTTCTGTTATTAACTACATGGGCACCCATATTAGGATTGTTAGGATTTCTTCCTCCATATGTTTGTAGCACATGGAGGAAGAAATAAGGCAAAAGAAATTTTCCTAAGAAAACTGCTTACCAGGGAAGGAACAAAGCTAAGACCATCCCTCAGAAAGTGGGCAGTACTTCTTGCTGTGGACGGGCCATAAGTAGGGCCAGTGTATGCCTGCGTCACAATTATTCAAGTCCACACTTTATCTCAAGGAGCTTAGCTTGGGCTCCAGTTGACAGAATATAAACAGATACTCTGTTGAGTGACTCTAATAATTTTGATGTGACACCATTCTGGAGAGTATCTAATTGATATTTTTACTTTGTCAATCTTTTTCTCGTGTGCATTCACACATGCTCACATATATAGTCTTGGAGATAATTCTGAAAGGAAGGAAAAGAGGCATTCATAGCTCATGTTTTACTATAAATGCATAACAGCCAACTCAATGGAAATCCATGTGTCCCTGAGTGCACACAAGTTATGAGATGTTCAAAGACTGTCATCATCAGCTCTGTTTATCTCTTTTTTGAATGCTGACCCTAACGTGCTTTTCCAGTTCCAGTAAGTTTTGGTAAAATTTTTCAGCAGTGTCTTCATCTAGGTCCATCTGGAAAAGAAGTAAAAATAGGGATGACTAGAAAGAAAAAAATAAGATGAATAGTATTTTGTATAAAAGAAAGGCATTTGACATATGTAAGAGGATTGAAAAAATAAATAAATAAAAAATAAAAGAGAAAGGAGTCTGTAGGAAAGGGCCATGGTGGCAGCCACATGAGCGCTGCTGGGAAACTCTGAGAGCCTGAGGACACACTAACGTTTAGTTCAACTCAGTAAACCTACTAATGCTTCCCTTAAATAGGAACACTGAAAAATCTGAGTTTTGCTATCTTCCCTAACTCTTATGTATCCAGGAACAGAAGATACCAGCCAACTGTGATATAAAAGGACAAAAGAGAAAAGTCAAGAGTTTTGTGAATTTCTACTAGCTAATCACCACCTCATACCCATATTTAGTAAAAGAGCCCTGTTTTTAGCTAGACTCACTGCCCCCTAGATAAAAGATACACATTCCCAGCCTCCACTGAAGCTATGGGTGCCATGTCACTATGTTCTGGGCAGTGAAATGTAAGTACTAGCCAAAAGTGTCTTTAAAAGGAATAAGGCATCCCTTTTTTCTCCCTTCGTCCATCCTGCTTTCTTGAGCCATAAGGATGAAGGCCACACTCTAAGGACAGTGGGGACCATGACTGCAAGGAAGCTGAGTGCCTGACAATTTGTGGATCTGCCATGCCAGCCTGAGGCTGCCTTTCTCCTGTTTTTACATGTAAGAAATCTAAGATTCTATTTGTTTAATCCACTGCTATTTTACATTCTTGCATTTCATGCAGAAAATCTAGTCTTAACTCATACATTATATGTAAAAGCAAACTTCCAGCCCTTATAAAATACGGACATGTTTTTTTCAAGTCAACACAAAGCCTGAACTTCAAAAACAGGCTCTTTCTTCACAAAACTGAAAGGTTAAAAACTAAAGAAACTTTTTAACATTTTGGAAATAACATTTATATTCATTCAATCACCTTTTAACAAAGGAAAAAGTTGACTTCTTCAAATTGATCAAAGGTTAAAACACTTTTTTCAGGCTGGCCCAGTAGCTCACGCCTAAAATACTAACATTTTAGGAGGCCAAGACAGGAGGATCACTTGAGGCCAGGAGTTTGAGACCAGCCTGAGCAAGAGAAAGACCCTGTCTCTACAAAAAATTTAAAAATTAGCTGGGCGTGGTGGCGCACACCTGTAGTCCCAGCTACTTGGGAGACTGATGCACAAGGATTACTCGAGCCCAGGACTTGGAGGTTGCAGTGAGCTATGATGATGCCACTGCACTCTAGCCAAGACAACAGAGTGAGACCCTGTCTCAAACAAACAAACAACAACAAAAAAACCTCAGATAAGCCACTTTCTTCAACGCAATTCTATAAATGACTAATGAAATACTTTGGTTTGTAGAATTAAACATGTTTTCCCCTTGATAAACAAATCATTCTGAGTTCTACTTTGGTTTGTAGACTTAAACATGTTTTTCCCTTCATAAACAAAATCATTCCCTCTAAGTTAATAGATAGTAAGTTCAAATAAACTCTGTGAACCTAAAGTAAGCTTTTTAGTTTACAACAGAATTCCCCAAAGGGATGTTAAGGGTTATGTGAAATTTGAAAACAAAAATTCATGTAGTCAAGAACAATTTACAAACACCAGGATTATACATTTCACACATACTTTTTAACTGTTTCAACCTCTCTAAGCCTTTACTGGGCTGATGTATGTTGTCTAAGTCTTTGAGAAAGGGGAATATAATATGAAACATTATTCAATTTTACCTGCCTGAGAAATCGCTTCTTGCAAATCTCAAGGAACTAGTATCCCACAGAACATATTTTGAAAAACTCAGAAGGTTCGTGTTTAGTAAACAGCATGGGAAGCACACAGCACAGTTCCGCTTTGCCCTCATGCTACGACATGTAGACTAAGATCACTGCCACTTACTTGACTTGAGATAACTTATTAGCCTCAATCTAGTTTTATTTTATGCCAATGCCTCTTCACAATAGGCTAGGCAGTGAAAAATGGTAGGCTGAAATAAACCCTACTTATGATACAAGTATAACAAAATAGTTCCTACAGTTCAAAATAAATTTTTTCATTCCCCAGTATATAACCCTACATTTCTTTTTAGAAGATGATGGAGTCCAAAAAACACAGTATAAATCTGTTTTTTTTTTTCCCATACTCTACCCCCTACTCCTTCAAAACACCAATCTATTAAACCTGTTAATTGTCACAACCAGAATTGAATACTCAAAGAGAATTTAACTTCACACAGAAAGACATTTCATATTTCACACAACTTGCAACATATTTACTGAGTGCCTACCATGTGCAAGACAATGTGGTAAGAAAGGGGGATATATGATCCCCTTCCTCATGGAGCTTATATTCTGATGCGCAACTCAAGAATGAACGAGCACTCCACAAAACAGGAAGAAGATGTCAAGAAAGCCTATGACACAGGCAACTGGTCTGGTCTAAAGGGTGGGCTATAGGCTGGGCTGGGCTATAGGCTGATCTGAAAGGTAAGCAGAAATCAATCAGTTGAAAGAAGGGTAAGAACAGCTCAAGTCTAGAGAACAAGATGTGCAAAGGCTCTGAGCCAGGAGAGAACAGGAAGAAATGGAATCAGGCCAGTGTGACGCCAGTGAACAGAGTAAAGACCCAGGTAAGGGAGGCTGGCAGGCTGGTGAGGAACATGGGACCTAATTCATCAGCCCCACAGCAAGTATCTCCAAAGTAACAGCGCAGGCAGATTTACCTTCTGGGATGTTACATAATTCCTTCCAAAGCCAGTGGTGGCACTCAGATATTTGGTCAGAGGATTGAGAGACTCAGGCTTTTGGTGGAAAAGCCACACCTAAAAAGGAACAGTGTGTCAGGGATTTGTACCTTCTGCCCAAGGTGGGGGAGGCTGGTGGGGATGTACAATCAGCACTTCACAGAGCTCCCCAGACAGATTCTAAAATTCCTCTTAAAGATCATCAACTAACAATTTGGCAAATATATTAAGAACTAATTAAAATATAATTTAAAAGCACTTGCTTCTATAATCAATTTGTGTCTCTATAATCAATGCATTTATTTCTGTAATATCTACCAAAACAAGAGCATCAAGTTAATTCCATGAACATTTTCCTTAGTTAACTTCAATTTAGTCAACATTTAATAATCTACTAAGTATAGGAAACTTGTAGGCCCTCAAGTTTCCAAGATGAACAGCATCACTCCACAAAGGAGCCCAATGGAGTGAGGAAACAAACGCACAAAGAACTGGCTCTGATACAGTGGGCTTTCAGTGTATAATTCTGATCCATTAGTAGAGGCTGCCTTTGGAGCTCTGGGTTGAAAAATATTCAGAGACATTACTTATATACAGAACAAAAGAGTATTATGATCCAATAGTAATGTCGCCATTGATGAGGAAACCCATGCAATACTTTTGCCATGTGTCATTTAAGGAAATCCACTGGTTTCCTATAATATCTTTCCTGTTGAAATTGTTTCTACTACCAGTGAACTTAAAATTCACATCTGCTAAGTCATTATACAAGATATGAAAACCACAGTAACATACCAGTACTTCTGTTCCATTATATGGTGTCAAGGTGAAAGCATTTGCAAAAAAGCGAAGCTGAAGAAAAGAAAACAACAGTCATTTTGAGGTGGTTTACAATACAGTCACAAAAGAATTATTCACTTAATTACTAAAAAAAGAAAACCTGCATTTCTGATTATAGAACATTTTTAAGTATCAAAAAATAAAGAAGTCAAAAAAGAAATATCACTTAATCTCCATCACTCTAAGTCAAACAATTTTCACATAAAGGTATATTTACTTCTAATCTTTTTTCTATGTCCACCACAATGGAGGGACATTTCTTCTTGAGCCCTACAGTGAGAGACATTTCCTAAAAGTAGCATTTTCTAATATGTGCTGGAGGAATAATAGTCCTGCTAGATGCTCAAAACACAAAATAAAACAAAGAAACCAAAATGTGGTTCTATGGTCATACAATGCAGAATCAGCCACTTCTTGAGAACCTTTAATGCACGTGACCACACTGAAAACTCAGAGAAGTCCAGTTGAATACTGCTTAACACACATTTCCCAAAATTACATGATTACAGAACTCTTAGGATCTATGGTGCATGATCAATGAAATATTCCTTTGAAGAGAATTGGACACTCAGATGGTGGTACAGTGGTAACACCCAATAGCATGAAACAGAGGCTACATATTAGGCAACTTCAAAAACTTCGAATTAAATGGATTTCAGGTTCAGTTTCTTAAATCATTTCCCAACCCTTAAACACATCTACTAGGTCCCAAATTAAAGAGATTTTGTAAACTAACAAAAGATGTATTCATTACTCACCAGCCATAGAATTGGCATCAGCAGTGTCCATATAAAAGGAGGTAAAATTCCGTATGTCAAATTGGTCAGTACTACACCTGGGCACACCACACTGGAATATAGACCCTGGGAGCACAGAGAGGGTAGCAATAAGACATTAATTCAATGTATATTGACTCAATCCAGCTATATGTTAATTAATAAGAGGCATACACATGAGCCAGGAAACCAGGAGATGAAGAATTTATGCTCTGAGTTATCCTTAAAGTTGGATAGATCATTTCAGTTAAAGAATCATGTACTAAGAACCCACTAGAAAAGGCACTCAGGGTGTACAAATTAGAAAGACAAAGTCTCTATGCTCAAGAAACTTGCAATATAAAGAATGACCAATCTTAAAACTGGCAGAGAAAAGTAGGGCCTGATTACCTGAGTTCTCCATATTGGCTTATTTGAAGATCAGTTTATCAATCACAATGAGTATATAAAATAAAAAGATGTATCCTTGCCTTTAAGAAATTTCTGATCTAATAAACAGACAACTAAATCTAAACTTGTGTGTCTGTTTCCATGCATAAGACCCATACCTCTGGCCTAAAAGCTACATAAGAAAGACAGAGAAAGCATCATACCAAATGGGGAAAAACCGAAAGCCTTTCCTCTTAGATCTGGAACAAGACAAGGATGCCCACTTTTACCAATGTTATTCAACATAGTACTGGAAGTTCTAGCTAGAGCAATCAGATAAGAGAAAGAAACAAAGAGCATCAAAATTAGAAAGGAAGAAGTCAAATTATCCTCTTTTGAAGACTATATGATCTTGTATCTAGAGAAACCTAAAGACTCCACAAAAACCTATTAGAACTGATAAATAAATTCAGTAATACAAAATTGATATACAAGTATCAATTACTGTTAGCATTTTTACATGCCAACAGTAAACAATGTGATAAAGACACCAAGAAAGTAATCTCATTTAAAATAGCTACAAACAAAATAAAATACCTAGGAATAAACTTAACCAAAGAAATGAAAGATCTCTATAATGAACACTTTTTATATTTACATAAAAATGTTATTACATTTATAACAACATGGATGGAACTGGTGAACATTATGTTAAGTGAAATAAGCCAAGCACAGAAAGACAAATCTCACACGTTCTCATTTATATATGGAAGCTAAATATTAAAAACAATTGATCTTGTGGAGACATAGTATAGACTGATGGTTACCAGAGGCTGGAAAAGGTAGTGGGGAGTGCGGATAAAGTAGAGATGGTTAATGGGTGCAAAAATATAGTTAGATAAAATGAACAATATTTGATGAATAACAAAGTGACTACAATCAACAATAAGTTAGGGTATACTCTGAAACAACTAAAAGAGTGGATGGAATTGGAATGTTCCTAACACAAAGAAATGATAAATGCCTAAGATGATATATATCCCAATTACCCTAATTTCCTTAACCCACATTGTATGCCTAGAACACAATATCACATGGACCCTATAAAAATATGTAACTATTAATATTATGTATCCATAAAAACTAAAACCAAAATAAACTAATTAATTATAGTGAATTAATCATGATGATCCCAAGTATTTCCTTCTCTATGGCTTCTGCAGGGGATCATTAACAATGATTAAAATCTATCAGGTAGCCTATATAGAACCTGACAACATTTCTGGTAATACAAGGCTTCTAAAGGAATCCCCCAATGTAGTTCTTTTTTAGCTGCTTTGTACCCTCACAAAAGCCAACAGGCTGAAGAACCAATCCCAATAGATTTTAGCAGCATTAGCTAAATCTCCCTTTTTTGTAAAAGGTGAAATCCCAAACCTTATTTGATAAGCAAAACTTAAAATAAAATCCCATGGCTTTTTATGGAAGGAGAAGTTAATCCACTGTGACTTTGTCCCCTAAAAGGAAGTTTCCAGAGTACCAGGAAGCTATTGAGACAAGTTTTTAAACATCTCAAGAAACTTTAGAAGGAGCCTGCATACTGAGCCCAAGCTATAATAATAGCCAACATATGAACACACATGAGAACATGAACACACATGTCCAGACCACATGAATACACCCCACATATATACTCACATTTTACACATGTCCACACACCCACACAACCCATACATGCACATATATACCTGTGTACATGCACACACATGTACATACCTACACTCATACACACACACGTACACACACATTCTGAGTGCAAAGCACTGCTGTGACTATTTCATAACAATTTCCTCATTCAATCCTCCCCAAAAAATCTGTGTGGCAGACACTACTATTTTCTTTATTTTCAGATGAGGAAACTGAGGCATAGGGAGAGTAAATAATTTTCCCAAGGTTTAAAGCTAGTGACAGAGGGAAGATTCAAATCCAGGTCTTAGCTTCTACTTTATACCACCCCCTTTGCTAAGAGGCATGATCACAAAATAATTTCGTCTGATAAAGGACTCCATTCCAGAATAAGCAGGGTCTAGACTCACATAAGGTTTAGATTTCTATGTCTAATTCATTATCAAAAAAGCTCCCTTGAAGGAAGATTTCTTGATCATCTTTTTATTTCACCTTCCTCCTCAACCCCAAGCCCAAGGTTTCTTGATCATCTTTTTATTTCACCTTCCTCCTCAACCCCAAGCCTGGCCCAGTGCCCTAAACATGGTAGGTCTTTCATAAATGTTAATGGAATTAAATTGCTCCAGAACCCCATACTCATATAACACAGTTAGTCAAAGCAAACAAAAGAAAATGCCCATGGGAAAGCCTGCAGATTTTTAGTTAAGATTTATACCTAGGCCCCAGAGACATACAAAGAAGCAGTAAATTACAGAGCACGATGGCCACAAGGAGCCAGCATGACTAACAAGCGTCACCTTCTCCAAAGAAATACCCTCTAAACCCAAATCCTCATAGAGATAGAGTTCTGGAGTCTCACCTAAATTCACCACTATCCAGGAGGTTTTAAAACTACTAACTATCCTATAGGCATCTGACTAGGTGGCAGCGTGGGTTAGCGGAAAAAGTCCAAGTCATAACGTCAGATAGCCTTGGACTCAACTACAAGCTCTACCATTTGCAATTTGGGTGATCTTCAGTAAATGACCTCACTTCTCTGAGCTTTAGTGTCCTCATTTGAAAATGGGAATACTCAGACCCACCTCACTATAACAAGGAAAGAATTAAATAACATACACAGATAAAGAGTACAGCGCCTAAAACATAGCAAGTACTTAAACAGTAGCTATTGTTTGTTATTTTCAATGGTGTCATTCTGTTACTATAAATTAGAATTCCTGGAGAACTACAAAATGGTAAACTAACTACATATATCCAGAAGGTTAGGAGATAATTATCTCTTCCCTAAAACTTTTATACACACCAACCATCAATCTAAACTACAATAGGTAGGGGGAAGCCAGCCAAGTTACTAGGAAATCACCTGTAGTTCATTAACAGACCCCTGCCCTGCCATTTCCACATCACTGAGACAGGCCTTACCCGCTGGTTGAAGTTCCTGTTCAACGCCACATTCAGGAGGTCAGTGGCATATTTGGAAGAGCTGTAGGGTTCGTGGCCTTTGCTGTGCTGGAAGTCCTCAAGGCTGAAAAGAGATTTCTTTGCGTTGCGAGATGACGTCCAGATGAGCCGAGATGGATTGTCGCTGTGACAGAGGAGGGGTTCCAGTTCCCGAATCTGAGTGGAAGAAAAAAATGAACAGAAAGTATCAGAATATGCTGGCAGATTAAATAATGATTCGGAAACCACTATACATGTATACTAAAATTGAATAATTAAGTAAAGAGATGGAGGATGATAGAAGCCAGGTTTGTCACTGTTGAAGTGGGACACCACAGAGCAGCAAGGACAGGAGGCTAGAATGAGCCAGATGGTCATAGATTAGGGTTAGAGACATCAGTATGAATTCATGTGTAGCTTAATAGAGATATAAGTTAGTTACACATAAAAATATTTACATATATGTACACATACATGAGTTAGTATGCATAGATATATCTCCTTGGTCTGTTAGCTGAGAGGGCCTAGAAAGTGATATCTCAATAGCAACGAGCACCCAGATCCTGGTTTCTAATAACCACTCTCCAATAAAAGGAACCAGGACTCCTTAGAAAAAAGGATAATGCTAGGACTGAGGCAGGAAATATACAAGATGAATCTGAAGCATTGTGCAGTGTCAGAAAGTAAGAAGGTACTCAAAATGAAAGCCAAAACAAAACGAGAAACCATAATGATGGGGCGTACGTCAAAGAGATACAGAAGCCAAATGAATGAGCTCCCAGTGGCCAAAACTGGAACAATCTGAGCAAAACAAAATAAAGTAGTATTTGCAACTTCAAAGTAGAAAATACATATCCATGATTCCACAAGGATATAATAAATAATTGAATAAAGAAATAAATGGATAATAGACAGATCTCCCTTGCAGAAAAGTTCCAGATAATTTCTATAGCTCCATCCATCCTTAAGGAGGTGGAGCACAATCCTGTGAACGAGGGCTACATATAGTAACTTTCTTCCAAAGAGTACAGTATGATAAGGGAGAAGGAAAGAGTAGCTTCAGAAAGGAGAACTCTGACAAACACCACCTCAAGCCAGGTGATCAAGGTTAACATAACACTGTTAAGTCATGTTGATAGTATATGCTCTTGATAGGACATCATGAGAATGGCACTTTATCTTGGTGGTCTTCCTTCCAAAAACACTTCTCCAGTCTAACCATGAGAAAAAGATCAGACAAATCCCAACTGAGGGAGTCTACAAAATACAGCAGCAGTAATCCTCAAAACTGTCAAGGTCACCAGAAACAAGGAAAGCCTGAGAAACCCTTACAACCAAGAAGAGCCTAAGGACACCTAACTGCTAAACATACTGTGGTATCTTGGATGGGATTCTGAAAAAGGACATTAGGCAAAAACTGAGAAACTGAATAGAGCATAGACTTTAGTTATCAATAATGTATCAGTACTGGTTCGTTTATTTTGATAAATGTACCATACTAATGCAAGAAGTTAGTAAGAGGAGAAACTAGGTGTAAGGTATACAGAAACTCTCTGTATTATCTTTGCAATCATTCTGTAAATCTAAAACTGTTCTAAAACAATAAGTTTCGTAAAGAAAAATCTACTACGAAAGCTTCCAAATGTGCTCCATGCTTGCAATAAACAATAAGCCAAATGCAATCAAGAAAACTCATAAACATGAGATTGAATCAGCTAACTGGTTCCTCAACTATAATATGGCACTGTGCCTAGAACTTTACAGTCATTATCTAAGTATTGGCTTATTAACACCAAAGCCTTTTTACCAGGATAAAGTGGCCAAAGACGTTGGTTTCAAACACCTCCTGGAGCCCATCAGCAGTGATCTTGTCATCCTGGGTCAGCAGTCCTTCAGCTGTGGAGAACATATGAATCACTTTTCTGAAACAGCAGAAGACAATTGTGAAGACAATTGCATGACTTTTTAAAGCTTCTTTAATTGAAGATAATGCAGAGATACTCTGACCCATCCCCACACACAAACTACACCTTCCTTGATTCTATAATGACAGGAATAACAATACCTATTTCTCAGACTAAGGTTGAGGTAGTAAATGAAATACAAAAATGCTTCCTTCCCTCCAATTCTCAGAAATACTTACATACTTGTAGTTCACACTACCAATAGAGAAGATGAGTCTCTCAAAAGCTGCTGTTAAAACCCTCCTCACCTCTTTCCAAAACAGCTACAGGTAAAATGGTAAAATGTTCTGGGAGAATAATAGCTATGCCAAGGGGAAAAAGTCTTTCCTTGCACAGAGTATGTTTAATTGCTGAAACAGGATTTTTCTTCTTTTTTTTTTTTTAGCGGGAATTCTTAAAGCATTGAACATATTAATATGGTGTTCTGCTGTGAGATTAGTTTAGTAGTATGTCAAGAACAGTGTGGAATTTGTGCGTGTGTGTTTTACTGGAAGAGAGGTAAAGCAAAATGAGCAGTGGGTTGCCAGATAAAATGTATTTCTTACTCTAGTTTGTGGTTCAACAATTCTGAAAGCCACTACACTAATGTGTACTGAGAGTCTTCCAGGAAGTCATTAGTCCTTTACATTTCTCCAACCTACTTCTCAGAACACCTTACATACAACTGGGAAATTGATCCAAAGTAGCTTTTCTGGGCAATAGAGTCTCTGAGAATCCTAATTTAGAAATCTTCTTGCTAATAGGTACATTCAGGCAGGCCAAAAATTGACCTTCCAAAACATCCAACCACTTAGAATGTCCTGGAGACCTAGAGCATGACAAGAACCAGGACTTGCAGTGTTCCCCACAAAAGAGGAATGTTTTTCTTTCATAGCAAGGTTGCAACACCTCCTTTCTATGTCTTCATCCTTCTCAACACCCCCTTACCTTTCATCCCCTAACTTAACACACTGAGGGCAAAACTAGGCAGAAAAATGAACACCTTCATTCCAATCAATTTCTCTAGAGAGTGGAAATTACCTTGAAAAGAGGCCAGAGAAAAGTGCTCTGATATTTAGCTGTGGATTAGGCATGATCCCAGCATTTAGATATACAAAGTCCAATCTCTGAAACCTGCAAATAAAACACCAAAACAAGATTGTGAGTTGCAAAGAAAACACCCAGACAAGAATATCTATTCTATCTCCAGAGAAATGAGGAGAAAGAAAGCTTACAAGAGACAGAAAATACTTTCTCAACCAATAAGATGGCCACAGTGAGCTACAGAGAATTTATAATACATAAGGGTTACAATATTTCTTTCTGACCAATTTTTCTTTAGCCACAGTAAATATTTTAGTATTGTTATTCTTTTCCTTCAAAGAGAATTTGGGGAGCCATAAAGGACTCTGAAGTCAAATCTCTAATCAATAATTCCTTCTAGATTTGTCCTCCCAATCAGGCAGTAACCCTCTGTCTAATAAACCTGCTTTCCTTCTGCTCTTAGAAAGTTTTTGCTTTTTGTTTTAATTCACATCTCCCCTGGTTGACAAGTAAAATTTATATAATATTAATATTTCCCAGACCAAATCTATCAATGCTGAAATCTGAATGCCAAGATATCTACTAAAACAAAAGATCCATGTAGAAACCTTTCAATATTCATGGACAGGTGCTATGTATCATAAAATGATAAGAATGCACAAGAATACAATAAGATTATAAAAGGTGAATGGGGTAAGGTATTCTTGGTAGGTTCCTTCCAGAATACTTATCATGGAAGGAATTGTGAAATGCTGACTTAAGAAAACTTTTTTTATTTTTAAGCCTACATAAGCCGTAATCTAAGTGTTCCACTTTTAAACTAGGTTCAAGACAGGTAGAGCCTACTTTCATGATGTAGACACCATAAATATTCACAATATCTCCTACAATTCAACGCATTACACTGTCTCTGTCTTCTGTATAAGCCAGGATAATAATAAGCCACAGCTACTAAAGCTAGGACCTTGAAATATATACATGGTTACCAAAACAGATCACACACAAACACTTCTTTTTTCTTTTTTTTGAGACAGATTCTCACTCTGTTGCCCCAGCCAGAGTGTCGTGGCGTCAGCATAGCTCACAGCAATCTCAAACTCCTGGGCTCAAATAATCCTTCTGCCTCAGCCTCCCAAGTAGCTGGGACTACAGGCATGTGCCACTATGCCCAGCTAATTTTTTCTATATATTTTAGTTGGCCAATTAATTTCCTTCTATTTTTAGTAGAAAAGGGGTCTCACTCTTGCTCAGGCTGGTTTTGAACTCCTGACCTTGAGTAATCCACCTACCTTGGCCTCCCAGAGTGCTAGGATTACAGGCATGAGTCACCTGGCCCAGCCACAAACACTTCTTGATCATCCTATAAATAATTAATGGCCAAATGACTCTCTCTAATTAGCAAATTGACTGTTTAAGATGCTGATATTGTTACCATCCGTTAATCATTTAAGTGCCACAAAGACAGTGTGGGTCCATCTATTGCTGGTTGTTCCATTATCTAATTGCAAACTTTCATGAAGAATATTAACATATTTGGCTAGGAATGGAGAGGAAATATTTAGCAAAGACACCAAATTAAGCTCTGGCTTCAGTAAAATGACATACTACTCTCAAAGATGAAATAATTTACACAATTGCTCTATTCTAGATAAAACGGAATCGCTATTTCTTATTAGTTTTACTATTTCTTATTGGTTTTTATCTGTACATAGAACAGAGTATTACAGATGAAAAGACCAGGTGTCAGGGATGATGCTGCAGCTTTAGCCATTGGAAGTCATCCTTCTCAAGCTCTGTTCAGCTCTAATTCACTTCAGATCTAGAATCAAAGAGATCCATTTGGGCCATTGCAGTAGAGCCTGAGGGATCTACCTGGACACCTTCATGTATTTCCAAATTTGTGAATATCATCACAACTGTCGTTTCCTAAATTTAGATAATACTCTTATTTCTGTGTCTTAGTTTCTTCACTTGTTAAATATCAGTACCTGCCCTACTTAATGAATTCACTGTGTGGAGGAAAGACATAAAAAATGAATTCAACTATCAAAGGGGTTACTTCAATGTGAGGTAGTACAATTAAACACATCAGAGTGTACTCATAAATTTGTCTTTAAGAACTAATTGTGATCAGGATTGAGAATGAAAATGTAGTACTGGTCTTCCTGTGATGAGTTTTTACAAAAAAAAAAAAAAAAAAAAAAAATGTAGTACTGAGACATAATGGGTCACTCTGTACAGATGTCCTTAGCATAACTTCTTCTTACACTGCACCTGTTTCTTTTTAGATCTTTCCTTTCATATTTTTATTTCCTTTCATATTTTATTAAATGTTATGTTGCACAATCATATAAGAGAAAATCCGTCAGCAAGAAACATACCTTTGCTTAAGTTCGTTGGAGGCCCGGAACACTGACTGCAGGTTGCTGACGTCCACCTGCACAATGGTGACCTCAGCAGTGGCATGAGAAGCCAGCAGAGTGGTACGGACAGCTTCTGCTTTGCTAACATTCCTGCACCCTAAACACAGGTGAAGCTCATCATCTTCCATCAGCAGCCGCTTGCAGAGGGCCAGGCCAATGCCACTGGGAAGACAATTCAGACACAGGATCTGCATTATTTGGGATGGCTCCTGGTAGAGGCATTTCTCTCCGGTTCAGAAAACTGATTGTGCCAACTTGAGTTCCAATGAGAAGTCCAGGCAGAGAGAAAAGACTCAAAAATTACTTAAAGAAGGGAAGAATCCTCCACTATAACAGTCACTTGCTCAGGATGTTGTCCAGTTTGTGTTTGTCTCATTCTGAAAAAGTTCAATGGCACAATAACTGGACTGAAAATGAGAGCTGACCTTTTTATTAATACAGAGTTTATACTGCCAGTGGTTTTCATTTTGTACTTTTTATGCCATTCATGAAGTTATTTAATACATCACCAGCAAGAGTTTGAAAAGAGCATCTCATTAGTTGTTTCCTATGTGCATGTTTTATTTATTCTAGGTTCCTCAACAGCAAAGGCTCTACCATCGCCTCTATAAGGAGCACCAGAAATCTCTAATAAGGGAACAGATGAATCTTTTAGGAAGAGGCATTGGTAACATAGCAGGAGGTACAAATCCCTCTCAACTACTATGATTGAATAACCAAAAGAAAGAGGGAACTCGGCATGATTAAGTAGAAGGTAGGAGCAGAATAAATATGAGATGAGGACTAAGAAAGGGAAGCAGGGATGAGTACACCATTCAAAGACAAATAAGCTACTTCAGAAAGAGTACAGTAAAAGTGCACAGGAGACAGGGACAGCAGTCAGACCAGCTTGGTAGAAAGCAATGAAAACCTGGGTGATAAGTTCTCTTCCAAGACTTAAGCCGATTCCAGGCAAATAGAGTCAGAACCCCAAAATGAGCCTGGAACCATCAGCAATTTGTTAGCCCTGCCAATAAAACATCAGAAACATTTGTTTATTCATTCTCTCTCAATAATAGTAGGCCTTTAATATAAATATACAATGGCACATATCATAATATATATAAAAGAAACACATGAAATCAATTCTAACTTATTTAAGATCTTCCACAGCAAAAGCAACTCATTGGTTGTGAAAGTCACATAAGAGAAGACACACTAAAAAACTGCCAATTAACTGCTGACACCTACCAAACTGGCTTAATTCATATCCACACGGTTAAATAACTGAAAAGGGACCAATCTTAAGTGACGTTTAACATATCCTCTGTTTTAAACTCTCAAAAATGCTAAGTGCAACTAACAGAAAAATGGTTTGGTTGGTTTCACCCTCCACACATTCTTTACGGAAATGCAAATGAGAAATTAAATAGGCAACAGAAGAGGCTGAATGAGCAACTCTGGAACATATATGAGCTGGTTATTCTGCACCCCCAACCATGCCTTAACATGAAAAGTTAATTCTCTCTGGGTTTCTGAAGGGTATATGTTAGCTCTCTTGCACTGAGCTAGGTGGAATGAGATGTTTTTTGTCGATTGTCCTAATGCTCATGGATGTTCAAATTCGGCTAAGGACAAAGGTCTTGCACAGATAAAACACTAGCATATAAAACGTGGCCACGTGGTCAGGAGCAAACCGCTGGACTGTAAACTCTAAATAGTAGGTCAAAGATGGGGAAGGGGTCGAAGGTCCGCAAGGGAAGCCCCTTTCCCTAGATAACCACAGGAGCGTCACTGAGACGCTCATCACTTACTGGCGCTCTAGTTTGCCTTTCCACTGCCATGTTTAATTCAAAGCACCGGTTCCTGGGCTCCTCAAGGGCCAGCATGCCCCACACCTCCTGCAGTGGGGGACCCAGAGAATAGCAGGGCAGGGTCTCCGCCGCAGTCCCAGCCTAGGCGCTGAGCGGCCGGCGCTCCCAGGGTCGGTTCCTGGCCGGTCGCAGACCCCTGCTCCGCCGCCGCCTCTGCCAGCCCAAAGTAGGCCTCACCTGCTCGCCCCGGTGATCAAAACCACCTTCCGCATCTTCGCAAACCAGCCCAGGCAGTAAAGCGAGAAGGCACCACAGCTCTCAAAATCCCTGAGCCCAGGTACCGCGGCCGTGCCCACGCGCACCCCCACCAATCAGAGCGCGGCCAGGCGCGGCCTCCGTTTGCGTCATCGACTGCGCGCCGGGGCCTCCAATCGCAGTCCTCCGTCCGCCCGCTGCGCCGGGGCCGGGGTGGGGTGAGATAGGCCGAGGGGCGGAGTCGGGTGACGCACAGGCCGGAGCCAATGCCGGCTGTCCCCGTCCCCCGCGGCACAGCTGTCGTCTTCAGTCGCGACCTAGCGGGCACGGGCTAGCCAAGCGCCTGGGGGCCGCCGTCTTTGGCTGGCACGCGCTGGGTCTGGGCCCCGTTGCCTCAGGCTTCCACCTGAATGGCAGGACGGCGTCAGGCTGTTCTCACAGCTGCTCCTGTTAGAGGAAAGGTTTGGGTGTGGGAGCTCAAGTTCAGCGATTATTATGTACTTGGTTTCCCAGATCCCGGCGCTGTGCCACTTTACAGCCAGCTTCTCGTCCCAGACCTCCCCTCTCTCTCTCTCTAAAGAATCCGCTTTGGGAAAATGAACATTGATTTTATTAAAAATATTACGTCGGATCTTGCGTGAATTACCCACCTTCGAAACTTGGGGTGTGGCATGGACTCATAGGATCTCAGAACTTCATCCTCTGCCGTGCTGAGACTGTACTGTAATCCACAGCAGGGCCTCTCTAACTCTGTGTGGTGAAGCAGCTGTTTTGTGTTTTCATGCCATCCCCGATGGGTGCTTTTGGAAAATACAATCAATCAATAAACTAGAAAAATAAAAAGCAAGAGGCATATAAAATACAAGCCCCAATTTTTTCCTTTTTAGATTCAACACATATAAAAAGTACTCCGCCAAAATGCCATAAAAGTTTCTAGTGCTTACAGTAGGTTTCTGTGTTGATAGTAGGTCAGTGACAGGACTAGCACCAGTCCCAGCTCACACTGAGTAAAACTGTACATCATATATCAAATTCTACTGAACAGACTTTAATCTATTCCATGGACCCTTTCAAGGTTTTGATTATTTATAAACAGCAATGATCCCCAAAAGACTGAGATAATCTATATTGGCTTTTGATTTTAGAGGTTTTGACTAATGATACCAACTAGTTTAGTAATCATTTATCTTATAACAAGAAAAATTAGATCGAAAGAACAAATCTGATTATTTGAACATTACATTCCTAAATAAAACTTCTTTATCTTGGAGGTGGAATTCACCTCCTGTCCTTATCCCACTTTCAACAGTTTAAGACCACGATTTAACAATATTTTCTGAAAATCCTGGAATATATTTACCCCAATCTTGAGAGTCTAGACTCAAAGTTTCCTTTTAAAATGTCCTGGAACTCAGAGGTGTTGTGTGAAATGAGTCAGGTAAAAATGCAAATGTGCCTAAGTGTCATCAAATTAGAATAAATAAAACATCAAGTAGAGCAAAAAAAAAAAACAAAAACAAATTTAATCGTCAAGAGTTTATAAAAAACATTTTGATTTTGGTCTTTTAATCCTAACTGCAGATATAGTTTACTTCCACTGATTCAATGCCTGTAGAGAGGTACACAAGGTGTGTCTAACTCACTATCATCTAATATTAACTTTACTGTTAAAAATTCAAAGTTGTCCTAAAAGTTGTAGTTAACGAACTTAAATTGAAAACTTTAGTTTTCCCATGGTCTGATGCATTTTTGTCCTACTGTTTACAAGCTAGCTGGTACATTATGTTACTATAACAGAGTTTTTGCCTAGAAAAAAAATTTTTTAATTATTAATTTTTGTATAGTAATTATTTTAAGATAAAAAGCAAGTGATGGTTAAAATCCATGAGAATCTCAAAGCAGTCTTACTCTATAAATGTGCTCAAGTTTATACACTAAAAAATTGTTTTGACATTATTTAGATTTTTTTTTAAAAAAAACAGCTTAATCTTGATGCTCATATAAAAAGCATGTTACCACTTCCTATCACTGTTTGAGGTGATAACAATTGGTGCTAAAAGTTTTTTTTTTTTTTACATATACATTCTGTTCTCCCTCTAACAATTATAGCTAATCAACCTCTATCAACTCCTACTTTTTTTACCAATGCTTCCAGCACTGGCAAAACTGGTTATTGGAGTTCCCAGGTGCAAAAGGTTGTCATGTCTCCTTTTCCATCAGTCCAGCAAAGTAAACTTTACTAATGCTAAAAGTCTGCAACAATGATTTTCTCTCTCCAAAAAACAGGCTTGTGCTATTGTCCGCTAGTGTTCTGCCTGCGCCCCTCTCACTCTTCCCTCTCTCCCCACTGGGTGCATCCCACGAGGGTTGAGTAGTAATCATATTTGGCAGATGGATGTTACCCATGTCACCTTGTTTAAAAAACTTCATTATGTTCATCATACGATTGACACTTATTCTCATTTTTAGTGGGCTACGGCTCATAGCTCTAGAAAGGCTGACGCAGTTATTACTCATCTTTATTTCTGTTTTGCTGTCATGAGACTTCCAGCGACATTAAAAACAGATAATGCTCCAGCTTATACCTCTCAAAAACTAGCTAACTTTTTAACACTATATTCCATTCAACATATTAACAATATTCCTTTTAACAGCCAAGGGCAAGCCATCATTGAGCTTGCGAATCGTACTCTCAAGCTTCAATTACAAAGACAAAAAGGGGGAGTCAAGGAATCTCCCCACCAACGTTTACTCCGTGCACTTTATATCCACTTTAAATTTTCGGCAGGACCTGCATACCTTGGCAGTAGAGCGTCATTTTACTTCTTCCCCTCCTTTGCAAAAGGCCTGTGACCCTATGTATGTTGCCACTTCTACTGGAGGATAGATTGAGGGAAAAATTCTTCAATGGGGTCGAGGATATGCTTATGTTTCCACAGGACAAGGTTGTGAGTGGGTTCCTGTACAACCACTCAAAGAACGATATCCACACCAAAAAACCACACAAGATGGGACCAAGTTGCCCCAAACAAAAGAAGAGAAAGTGGGCGGTAACACTGGCAGTGTGGCTACCCCTTAGCCTTCCTGCCTCTTTGCTAATCTTATACTCCTCTGTAATTGGCCAGGTTGATTCTGTTAATGCTCAGCATGTATATTGGGTTTATGTTCCCTACCCTCCCCTTTTTAAGGCAGCATCTTGGGGAGAGCCTGACATCCTCATCTATACTAATGATTCAAAATGGACGCCACCTCCATTTCAATATCAGTCACCGCATCCTGAGGACGAAGGGAGGGTAGTTTTCACTTATTCCACTTATGCTCAAGGCTACCCCGTTAACCTCGGGCCCGGGAAAAAGGCCTAAAAACCCCAAAACAAACAAGAAAATTGCAAAAAAAATCCCCCCTGGTTGCCAACCACAACAAAATAATAACCAAGAAAAGGTTTAAAGGGGGAAAGAACAAAATTGAAGAAAAAAACCTCCCCCTTTACCGCTCTGCTCCATGCCTCATCTTAAACCTCCTATAACTCATTTTGATTGGAGCATATGTAGAGGTAAAGTTCTAAAAGAAGTACACAATAATCCTAAGATTGTTGACTAGAGCCCCTATGGCGACTTTAAAAGAAAAGTTTTCTGGTCACTCCTTATGCTGACACGTTTATGAAGACACTATCAAGGCCATTGCTAACGAGACGGTTATCTGGCATGATAAAGGCCTTTCCCCTCCACAGCCTCATTTACTCGGAGGGTCAGAAAAACAAGGGCACATCTAGAAACACTTGGCTACAGAAGGAAACCTTAAAATTTGGATGGAAAATATGTCCCCAGATGAGAAGGGAAGCGTAAAAGTACACCTCCAGCATCGCCATTCTAAAACTTTACTGGCATGTGTTTCTTATCCTTATCTTTTACTCACAGGAATTGTTTATTGGAATCAGTCTACAGGAAAGTTGACTTGCCCTGGTAATTGTGCCCTATTTACTTGTGTAAACTTAACTTCATGGGCTACTTTTAACAAATCCTTAAATAGTCTATATATTCTCAAGGCTCATACAGAGATATGGTTGCCTGTCAACCTATCTCGACCTTGGGGCAATTCAGCCCTGGTCGCCACTCTTTTAAATAAAAAAAATTCTCTGGCTCGTAAAACAAAAAGAGTCATTGATCTGATAATCATGGCAGTAGTTGGCTTAATAGCTATTGCTTCGTTAGCTGCTGTTACAGTTCAGTGGCTGGGCGACCAAATTCAGGTTTTGACAACTCAATCTTTTCTCCGTTGTGATCAGAATTCTTCCTGTTTTTGTGTCACTCCTATTCCTTTCAGTAGTAGTCAACATTGGATGTCATTACAAAAACTGTTAAACGGAGGCTGAAACCTAACTGGCAACCTCCAAAAATTAGAACAAGAAATCACCTCTGCTTTTCAAGACAATTTGCCAGATTTTAATAATGATGAGTTCTTTTCTGGCCTGGCCAGTGGATTGTCGTAGGCCTATGCTATGACTTCATTAAAAACTATGCTTAGTAGTATTGGAAGTAATTTGGGTGTTCTCCTTGTATTATATTTTGTGTTCTTAATCTACAGGTGCTGGAAAAAAAGGCAAGCAACTCAGCAACAGCAAAGACAAAACATCATGGCTGTGTTCCAGCGTGTTCACCTTAAAAATTAAATAAGATGGGGGAGATGTAGGGGACTGACATATATTTTCCTAGTTTAAGAATTAAAGTTAGTGAGTAATGTACGTGTTCTGCCCAGAGTGTTTGAAAGTAATCTGTTCCGGACAGGCTCCCTGTGATAAACAAGGATGCCTAGAGGCATAACAAAGGACCTGAGCTGCAACTAGAAAGAGCAGCCCCACCCCATGGCATTGGGGGTCTGGAAGCCACACAATAAATATATTGTTCTCGTGATTGCTGCGTACACCCCATAGGATGGCTGGTTAGTCAATGACAGGTAAGACCCCTCAAGGGAGGGGCGACCTAAGCCAGGCATAGCCACTGGGGTTCAGCTGAAGATCTTAGGGGGTCACCCTAAGAGAAGAAGCTGGGGATGAGAAATGCCCCCTGTGGCTCACCTTGCCCATCCTTGCTAATCTTGGTCCTTTATCTATGCCTAGTGCCTAGAGCAACCACCTTGAAATTCTGAGTCAGGGGATATCTGTTTCCCTAAGACTACGCTTTCCGGAATTAATGGCTATCGCTGCCACACCTGGGTGCTTACGTACAAGGCACTAACTTTAATCTTTTAGAGTATAAAAATAAAACGGACCTGGTGTATTATTACTCGAGTCAACTGTCTGTACGTGTGTCTGTGTTTTTCTTTGTATTCTGTGCGTTTATGTTTTATGTTCTGTGTTCATCCTCCGTCCTGCAAATGGGCCATGGCACATCTGCACTTATTTCAGACTTCTGCTCAGGCAATTCCTTCACCTCCTACCCTCTCACAGCCTCAGACATAGCATCCCTAAGTCCCAGTGGTCTTAATTCCATCAATTTAGGTTGTTCTGTTGCTTTGTACATGCATGGGCAGTCTGCTCATATATGGATTTAGAGGGATTTCTGTGTCTCAAACAACAAAACTCTGTAACAATAACAATGCAATATCGCCACTTAATTCTAGATTGGATTTCCCAGAACTGAAGGAATTAATGTGAGGGCATAAAAATTCCAGTCTCTAGTATGTTTGGATATGTCAGAGACCAAGATGATTTCCTTTCAGTGGTCAGCTAATGTGTTAGAGGCCTGTGTAAGTGACCTTCTGTTGGATGGCCCCAGCAAGCAGGTGTCCACATCACATGCACACAGCTGTGTCCCCACACCCCACCACTTCTCCAGGAATAACATAAATATTTAAAGAGAAAAAGGTAACAGAGCCCAGAACCTGTGATGTTTACACAGAAAGGAGGATCCATCAGTAGCATGACTCTTTAATCATTGTTATTTACAATTTATCATCTGACAGACTTACAGAGAATAAATAAAGAAAAGAAAATATACAATTGGTATCACGTTTCTTTTTTTTAATACAGAGAATTTTTATGTATTTTATTCTGGAATGACTATGATAGTTTTAAGCAGAAATTAAATCCATTGGCTATTTGTCCCTTGACAAGACACATCATCTTCCAAAGCCTGCAGAATAAGTCCCAGATGTTTCCGCGTCATAAGAAGAGTGCGCCACATTGCTGCAGAAACTCAGTCCTCAGGAAAAGTTACCAGACAACAGGGTAGAAGAAAGAGGATATCATGAATAATAAAGGACATAACATGGGTAGGCTAGATTACAGATTCTCGGTGTGTTAGCAGGAATCCTCCCAATTGTCAATTGTTTCCAAGCCTCTTTTCAAGAAAACAGTTTTTCACGGAAAGTGATCAGTTTACCCCATGGTGCTTTCCCCTTGAGTCTCTCCAAATCCTTCCTGGACTCACAATTGTGGTTGTGGACGAGTATAGGCTAGCATGGGACTCCTCATTCTCCTACAGAGGCACATGACCTTGTTGACAAGTTATCTGCAGGAGAAACTAGAGAGCTTGTTTCAAATGTCCTGTGTTTGAGGCCACAGTCTGGTCTCTGCCTGTGATCCAGTGCTGTGTAGAGAATTACCTTTCATTGCCGCCTAAATACCTCAAAGAATGAAGCATTTGCATAGATTGATTTTTCGCTATCAGAAGGTATACAATTGAAGGATGTACTTCACCAGGTACAAGTCTGGGCACTTTTTCCTCATTTCAAAATATACACTCAATGTTACAGGTAAACATTGTCCCTGAATTCACCCTAGTTATGCTGGATTACAAGTTTTTGTTTCCATCCTTTATTCATTCTAAAAACAACATTCAAAAAATGTTTATCTGGTGCTCACGATGTCCTAGGGACTTTACAAGACACATACTGTTATAATCTTGTGACCATTTAATGGGGCACTTGAAAATGTCATCACAAAACCCAAAGCTGTAATCCACAAAACTGGAGGTTCACCTTTTCCCCGGGCTGTTTCTATGTTTGCATTTAGTTTGGTCCAATGTAGTTGTTATTTATGAACAGATATTTAGGCAAAGAAAACTTCTCTACCACTCTGAAAATAATATTTTATCACATACTAGAGTCTTATACCACTATATTATATTTCTTCCAAAAGCAATCCCTGGTGCCATTAGCTAAGTGCCACCTAACTCTTGACCAAACTATTAGTTACTCTAAAGTCCACAACAAATTCTACTCATAGAAACTGCAGGAACCATCTAACATATCCTTCTATACCTGCTTCACTAACCAACAAGCTATGGACAAGCCTTACTGTCATTTGTGTTGCCCAATCCTTTTAAATTTTTCTTGGATTGTTTCAGGTGCCAAACAACCAAACTAATTGGAAAATTTAGAAGCAGTGTAGGCAGGATATTGCTCACTGATAAAGGAACAATTACCTTGTTATATTCCCTTGAAATTTGTAGAATTATATCCAGATGATATCTTTCCTTCTGTATCCAAACAAGGCCAGATTACAAATCAGCAAGAATTAAAAGTATCCAGCAACTAAATGAGTACATGTGGAAAAACTGGTGAAATCCAAACAAAGTCTGTAGTTTAGTTAAATAGTTTTATACCAATGTCAATTTTCTGGTTCTGAAAATAGACTGCGGTTGAAAATGGACTATGTAAAATATTATCAATGGGGAAAGCTAGGTCTAGGGAAGCCATTCTACTATTTTTGCAACTTCTTGTGAGTCTTAAATTATTTCAAAATAACAAGTGTTTTTAAAAGGATGCACCAACTAAACAATTACTCACCACTCCTTTGCTACCAAGCAATGCAGCTAATTGTGACAGAGAACTCGAAATGCCAGAAACCAAATCACCATTAGCCATTCCAATCTCTTCCCCTTTCAATTCAGCACTCCAAAACTTTTACCAAGCAGAAAAGATTCATCTGTTTCTACAAAAATGTCAAATTTCAATTCAGAAGGATTTCCCAGCAAAAATTAGGAACTGCATCTTCCTGGAGATGAAAGAACATTAGGGACCTACCACATGCACTACCAGAGGACAGAAGTCTTACTGAAAAGACTAAGATGGAAAATTTTGGGTCTATGAATTGGACTTACGATCAAAGACTTAATAGCCATATACTGTAATTTTCTTAATTTTTTTTTTTTGTACTTTTGGGCAAAACAGATGCTGTTCTGTTTTAGTATATTTCCTTGGAACATCCTCATCTCTTTCCCTCTTTCAAACACTTCCTTTCCTCTGTTCTCCTTTACTCAAAACACATGGCTTAGCCGCACATCATGGCTTTCTTGTGGGAAGCCTGGATGGGACTAGAAAAACACATGTTTCCAGCATGGCACATACCTCTTTGTGTAGACAAGATTTACTCTTATCTAATTCATGCATATCATTTTAATGTTTGTAGCCATTCTGGGCACTGCAATGATAGGCGTTATTGAAATGGATTTCGCTGAGAGAGGCAAGAGAAGGGAACATGGAGATTCATGAACTACCATAAATTGCCCATCTCTACGTCTTCATTTCCAAAGCAGCACTTGGAAAACCCAGTCCAGTTCAGGCAAAGAGTTGATTTCTTCTTACCAGCACTTGAAGTGGTCTAGAGTACACGGATGCTCAACATGCTTTCCTCATTCACTTCCTCTGCAGTGAAACCATCAGTCCCTGATGGCTGCTTGTGTCTTTTCCACGAGGGACTTCCCCCTTTCTTAAAACTCTGAAAAACTCCCATCCGTTTCATACACTGCACCTGACTGTCCCTTTTTTAATAAATATCTTTCTAAACTCTATTGTGCAGAATTTCATCTTTCTCCATCCACCTTTATCTTTTACTTCAAGACACTTACTTTTTCTACCCTCACTTGGACCTCTCTTCAGAGAGATCTGCTTTCTTGCTTCAAAATGGATTCCCAGCAGAACCAGCTACCCCCATTTCCTGCTTCCCCTGAGTCCCTCTTGTCTTCCCTGTACACTCCCCACTGCCTCTTCTCACAAAGCCTCCTTTCCAGCTTTCACCTGCCTCCCTAGTCAGTCATATGCACATTCGTGTTTCCTTTTTTTTTTAACCCCAACTTGCTTACAACCCTCCTTGTTACACAGTCTTTTATACCCACAAGTGATCTTTCCACGGCATTAAAACCACATTTTTGTCCTCAGGCGCCTATTTCCCCTCCAGGTATTTTCCAATCACATATTTGTCTGGACAGCACATCGAGATTTGGAACTAGCCATCAGCACATTAACTAGCAAGAGTATAAATTTGGATCTGACAATCCCACAACAGAATCTGGCCATAAAATTCTTCACATATTTCACAAAGAGGATAACTCACTGCAAAGGTAATGAGGCCCCCGAGCTTCTCGTCATTTTTTTCTGTCTCCTTCTCCAAATATGTCCTAGTTTCATTCTTCTAATTTAAATCCAAGCTACTTTTAAATTCTATAAACTAAGCTTTTGCCATAGTACTCTATGTATTGCTTAGATTTGTGCTACTCATCTCTGCAGGCTTGATTAAGCTACAAGTTAAAGCTGTGCCTGTAATAAAAAGGTGTCAGTGCCAGAAGATGAGGATTTCCCCATCTCCAAAAAGGATACATACATGTATTATATGATAATACATATTTGAAAGCCACCTGCAACAGATTACTTCTGTAATTCAAAGCCAGGAAAATCCAGACATAGTAAGTTCATTTTAAACATGATTTTTTTTTTTAAATGGGATCATAGAATACCCAGTGAATTGGGGAAGAATCATAAAAAAGAAATAAGTGGAGGGATGTTAGGCAAAGGAAAGGAAACCGATATTATTTTCTCTTGCTATGTAAAAAGTCATGACATGGTCTGGATGTAGCCCTATCAAAGGCATGTAGATAAAGGAGAATAAGTTCTGATTTCAAGTCCCTTTAATTCTAGTGAAGTTAACACTTATATTGAAAGCAGGGTGTGGCAGTTCCCAAGGTATAAGAGAACATGTCTGGCCCTGCACGCATCAAATATGATAATGTATGTGGAGCCAGGCAAACAAAAACACTGTACAAATGGCGGATGTTACTGTTACTACCATTACAGTGATTACAATAACTCCGACTCTGAAAATTGTCATTTCTACAATTTTCATAGTAGGGGAGTGACCAAATTACTGAATCCACATCAGTTATAGATCCAGTTATCCAGCAAGTACTGGACATATCAGAACCAGAAGGAACTTCAAGACCACCTAACCCAATTTCCTCATTTTATGGATAAGGAAACAAAATGCAGAGAGACAAAGTGATTTACTCAGGAGGACACACTTGGCTTGCGGCAGAAAGATGATCAAAGCTCTCAAATCAATGATCTCTCCAAAGTGAGTCCTGGAAGAGACTAAAGCACACAGTCATAGGACAACTATGGGGAAAGGGCATTTGCCAGGGTCAGAAGACCTCCTGCAAGATGGATCTTTGGTTTCAAACTCCTGACGTTGAGTGATCCTCCTGCCTTGGCCCCCCAGAATGCTAGGATTATAGGCATGAGCCACCACGCCTGGCCAAGATGGATCTTTGGGACATGAGATTTATGCTTCTGCTCTGGCCTGGAACAATGCTGAAGGCTAAACAGGGAAAATGTGTTCCTGAGAAACTGCGTAGAAGGTGGTCTGGTGAGGACAACAGAGACAGACTCAAGGGGTCAAGACTGTTTCTTCTCAGCTTGGGAAGCTTATTCTATAATCTTTATTTGTTTTTCCTCAATGGGAATTAAGGGTTCCCGTGTCCAGCTTCCCACTGACTCTGAGGATTTGTGGAGTGTGAAAGCCCAGAATCTGTGCTTAGGGGACTCCTCCTTGACACTGTATTCATCTCCATGAATTCTGAAGCCAGAGCCTCACGCTTTCTTTTCTGCTGGCCACCCCGTCTCAGAGGCAAGAGTGTACATACTACACAGCAGCAATGGACACGCATTCTCTGCCATTCTGAAATCAAGGACCCTCCGGGACAATTAAATATTGTCTTGTATGACCATCTACCTTGTGTTTGAAAATCTCTATCTTTCTTGCACTGTTCTTCAGCCTACATCTGAGCCTCTCCAGTGACATCTCTGGAGGCAGCCCATTGATCCTCGTATGTTTTCCTTAATAATGAGTGGAAATCTGTCTCCCTATAACTTCTCATTGGTCCTACGTCAGCCTTTTGGGGACACTTAGAACAGATCTATACAAAGCCCTGTTATACATGGCCTTTAGGAATTTATGCCTGAGAAATTCAGCCTCCAGTCCAAGAGCCCACAGGGGCTCCATCCATGTTAATTGGAGCTGGAAGATTTGGACAAGATGAACCAAAGGGCTTCCTATCAAGATATCACAACACCAGTCTTTACTGATTCAATAAAAATCAGGTTCTCACTGAAACACACATGAAACACGAAAATGTCTGAACAAAACGGAGAGCTCTCTGCAGAAATCACCGGTGAATAATGGATAGTGCACCTGTTACTTGTCCTCCATCTGCACAGACCTGCTTTCCTATGTCCATTATCTACTCAAGAATCCTTCCATGCATGAGGTTCTTTTATTAATATGACAATTCCCCTTCACATAGCCCTGGAACAGGCATTCTTTCCTATCCACATCCCCTGTTGTTTTATATATGAACTTCAACCCTGACCCCTGTCCGTGAATGACCAAAACACCCATTCCAAGAAACTGGAAGTTTCCAAGAAAGTGTCATCCACTTTGACAGGAGAAGCAAATACAGAAAGTGGGACATGTCCAGAAGCCAAATTAGAAAACCATCTGTGATTAGTTGCTTAATGCTGAGTCCTCAGAGTCTCCACATCTATCAGGTGTTTTCCCTATGCCTAATGTCATGTTTCTGAAGACATCAGTATTCTCCAAGTTTTTCTTTCTGACGATATTTTTTTACAGGTGACATGGAAAAAATATTCTAGAATCTGAACATTTATAAACACAAGCATATTCAACCTTTATAAATTATCTGAATATTCTAGCCTTTGTTATCTAATGTTTTGGTATATCAAATAAGATTTCTTTTACTACATTGTATCTGTCCTAGGCTTTGTTTTTGTTTTTTTTTTCCTTTTTTAGTTCTTTAATGTAAAAAAAGAAGTATATATGAGTTAGGGGTAGGGAGTGGGGGAGTGCAGTGGGAGGAGGTGAGGAACAGAGAGAGAGCAAAGCAAACAAGCCGCTGTCTCTCAGGTTCGTATACGTCCAGATGGAGTGGCTTAGGCGTGGGTGAGTGGTAGGTCTTGTGAGGAGGACCTGGGCCATCAGAATGTTGCCAGGCGTGGGTGGCATCACTCGTCCCCTTGTTGAAGGAGCAGAAGGTGGATCTCTTGGAATGAGGGGCGGTGCTTGGTATCTCTTCTCCAGCAGCTGAGCATCAGCTTGTACACAGAGTCAGGGCAAATAGCTGGTTGAGGAAGATAAGTCTTTGAAAACAAAAATTTAAGAAAGAGAGAGAAAGAATATTAAGAAGAAAAGGAAAAAGAGTCTTTGCATCATGGTTTGATTTGCCCCCTTCCCCCTTTCTGGAACTTGAGACCCGAAATGGGTGTGGTGTCTATTCTTCCTACTCACAAGAGTTCTAAATCAGTATCAGCCCCTTTCCTATTTCTTATGCCTTCTCCAGTTCTCTGGAGCAGGATTTCCTAATGGGCCATTCCGTGGTCTCTACCTTCATGCAGAAGATGGAACTAAAGCAAAAAGAGATCAAATCTTCCGTTTATGGCTCGTTCATACTGAGGTTTACCTTGGCTGGATCATGACATCATGACAGAAGCCAAAAATATGTTTGTATAGCCTTAGCTCCTCAACTGGAATAAAATCTCAGCCAGATGCAGAAACTGGGATGTAGCATGTGTCCATGTAGCTCCCAGCCATAATGTTCTCTGCGCTGCCCATGCCCCATGTATTTACCCAGTCGAGAAGAGACTGGAATTGTGCTGTACGGCATGCACCAACATCCCTGCATTGACCCTGTCAATAGCCTTGCCCTGAATTCCAGCCTGGGGCTCTAGAGCAGGTCCTCAGATAGCATTTTGTTGATGGGAAAAATATAATAATAATCTGGCCTGGGCCCCTGTCTGCGTGGAGTTTGCATGTTTCTCCCATGTCTGCATGGTTTTTCCCCGGTTACTACCATTTCTTCCCACACCCCAGAGAAGCACACATGAGGCAAACTGGAGCATCTAAATTGTCTGAGCAAGTGCAGGTGTGGGTGTGAGTGGCCCTGCCATGGGGTGGCGTCCTGTCCGGGACTGGGTCCCACCCCCATCCCCTGAGCTGCTGGAATAGACTCTGGCCACCCACAGCTCTCAGCAGGAGTAATTGGGTAAATAATTACCTTATTGTCTTTATTACACTCTCTTAGATATATTTATAGCTCACATTTATTTCAATGTTTAATATAAGAAGTGTTTCAGGTTTTTGTTTTGTTTTTTGTTTGTTTGTTTTGACAGTCTCACTTTGTTGACTGGGCTAGAGTGCTGTGGTGTCAGTCTAGCTCACAGCAACCTCAAACTCCTGGGCTCGAGCAATCCTTCTGCCTCAGCCTCCCGAGTAGCTGGGACTACAGGCATGTGCCACCATGCCCGGCTAATTTTTTCTATATAGTTTTAGTTTTGGCCAATCAATTTCTTTCTATTTTTAGTAGAGACGGGATATTGCTCATGCTCAGGCTGGTTTCGAACTCCTGACTTTGAGCCATCCACCCGCCTTGACCTCCCAGAGTGCTAGGATTACAGGTGTGAGCCACCATGCCTGGCCTGTTTCAGGTCTTTATTTAGAAGTTTGGTGATGTTTTAATTCACAAGTGAAAAAGGCAAATATCTGTGATGTCTACTGGAATACTAATGACATCTAACAAGCCTTAACTCAGTATGTTACAAATGACTATGGCTATAAAATATTAAGAATTTAAAAGGAAATATAAATATAAATAAGGTTACAGGATAACAAAAACTCCCTTATATTACTGGTGAAACTTAAACCTTCTAGCATGTTCATTAGTTAACTTTAGAAAAAATAATATATCCATTTTGAGCCAATAGGTGTCAATAAAATTGAAATAATAAATCATTTAAATTATTAGGGTTGCTCTTTTCAAAATCTTATAAACTTGACAAATAATAGAAGTATATTTCATAACAATTCATAATATATTTGTAGAATTTTGTTACCTTTTACAACATTAAACAAAATAAAGTTTTAAAATTGTATTTAATTTTTGGTTATTTAATTTCATTTAGACCATGGGCTTTCAAGAAAAGTGCTATCTGGGAATTCATCACATTTTGTGAAGCTAAATTGAAAGAAAAATGTCAAATATATTATTTTAATTATTGAAATTATTACTATAGACTTCCAAATACTTGCAATTGAAGTCAAAGGATTTAAGACTTTCCTAAACTATGAATCTTAAGTATAAAATTCCTTCCAGAATTCATGTTACTGAAATTTTTCTTCTGCATTAGATCTGCTATGTTCAACAAGTTAGTCATGCCACTTGAAAATGAGTTAGATCACACATGTATAGTCTAGTGACCATAGAATCCATCTAGCGGCCAATGTTGAGAAATTATTATCACTACACTCCAATGTCAAACTTTGAAAATTTGAATATTGAAATTTAAATAAAAAATTTAATAGTAATTAAATTTAGTAAAATGCAATAAAATGCAAATTAAATAAATTATTTTAATAAGCTAATACATTACATTTAGTATTTTTTATTTAAAACTTTACACTTACATTTACTCAGCATATAACAGTATCATTTGGCTTCCATCAAGTAGTTGACTTTACTACTTGACCATTTGGTAGTCACTCTAACATATATTTGGTACATCACCAGTATCTAGTGAAGGTAAAAATGCTAGACCCTTTAAAAGTGACTTTAAAAAAATAATTTTAAAATATCCCAGAAATTATTAGAAATTAAAACTTTGATCAAATTATAAAAAGAAATTTTCTTACAAAATTGAATAACATAACATTGGAATAATCGATATGTAATTTTTTAGAGCTAAGTTAAAAAGCTCTATAATATTAAGAATATTTTAGTGCAAAGCAGACCGTGGACTGCTTCTGGCAGAGGGGTAGGAAGGCATGCCTTTCTTTTGTTGAATGTTTGGTGGCCCATTTTTGCCTCAGGTAAAAAAAAATAATAATTTTCCCTATAGGATTTCAGTCACTGAATAAGAAGTTGAGGGAGACTACAAAGGCTTAGTGTATTCTTACCCAGATAGCGCCTCTTTCAGCTCAGGCCTCTCCCGCTGAGTCAGGACTTTCCTTTCTCCCTCCTTCAAGAGCACACAAGTCCACATGCATCCATCCCTAACAGTTCTTACCTGCCTCCCCTGGTCTCGGAAGAACTCTCCGGTATTCTCAATAACCTGTTCATCTGACAGCTGGGAATAGGGCTGCTCCTGGCAGAAGGTGAAAGTCTCCCACAGAGTAACCCCAAAGGCCCACACATCACTGGCTGTAGTGAATTTGCCCTGTGAAATAAGGACAAGAAGGGGAAATCAGCATAACCTGTGCACAACAAGAGCAGGTTAGATTTCATAACCTGGAATTACTCCCCTTCCTCTACCAAGGGCAAGGAATGTTGAAACTGCCAAGATATGCATGGAGCATCTAGAAACGACAACACAAAGTTGTCAAGAAACAGGCCATTCTCTTTTCCTCATGATGTCAGCCTAGTTCTGCTTCTCTGGAGGTGAGTCCAAGAGCTGAAAGAAATGCAGCCATCATCTATCTGACTCGCCCACTGAGTGTTAGAAGGCCAACCTTTAGGCTTTAGGGTGGCCTTGAGAAAATGCCCCTGAAAAGGCAAAATTTGAATGGGAGCCGTCAATTGTTTTCATGTCACAAAGAGAGGAATCGGGTTTAAGTGCCTGGAGTAAGTTCCTGGGTGAGTCGAGGACCCTCACTTCCCAGTTCAGTTGATAGCCACGGTCTGGAAAGATAGACTTCAACAAGTGACAGTAATGAGACTCAGGTGTAATTAACATGCATTGAATACTCACAGCATTGTGAAGTAGATGATATTTATTTATCCTCATTTTTTAGAGCAGAAAAATGAGACAGGAGAGGTTTACTAAATTCTCCTGGTGAATAAGACCATTAGCAATGGAAAAACTGAGATTCAACCTAAGATATTCTGAATATTAATCTAATATATTGTTCTCAACACCACACAATATCTTCAGAGAGAGCAATGCTTAGTTATCACATTAGAAATGGGTAAAACATAATGATTCATCCATATAGATAAAAAATATCTTTATGAAGATTTATTAATATGTAAACTGGTATGTATCACAGAATCATTCATAATAGCAGGAAATTGGAAAGTACTTAAATATCAAATTATAGAGACATTATTAAATTATAGGATACATTCACATAATAGAATATTATGCAGCCATTAAAATCATGTTTTTAAACAACATTTAATTACATTGGAAATAATAAAATGTTAAATAAAAAATAAAAGTAGAGAGAAAGAAAAAGAATACATACTCTTGGGTGCAACGGTCGATTAATAGGAGAGTGACAGATCATGAGGGCAAGAGCCGTCTAGAGTTTATGGAATTAGAATGGTCTGTATATTAGAAACAAGAGTCTCTATCGAGTAAGGGGGCCGCAAAGCAGCCACATCTCCTGATCTTACAGAGCTTTCTTTTCTTTTTTATTGAGACAGAGTCTACTCTGTTGCCTGAGCTAGAGTGCCTGGTGTCAGCCTGCTCCAGCCAACTCAAACCTCTGGGCCCAAGCGATCCTCCTGCCTCAGCCTCCGAGTAGCTGGGACCACAGGCATGCGCCACCATGCCTGGGGCTAATTTTTTTCCCATATATTTTCACTTGGCCAATTAATTTCTTTCTATTTTTAGTAGAGTGTGGATCTCAGTCTTGCTCGGGCTGATTTCAACTCCCGACCTTGAGTGATCCCTCCCGCCTCGGCCTCCCAGAGTGCTAGGATTACAGGCATGAGCCACCACGCCACCATCAGAGTTTCTATGTTCTATTAATAATATGGTTT